GCTAATGAGCTGCAGGCTGGAGGGCCAGCAGCATGTGATTAATCAGAGGCTCTGGCTGATGAGCTTGGTGCTGACTTTCCCCTCCCACCCCACAGCCCTGGCCCCATATATCCCCTGGGCTCACAGCCTCTGCTTTGCTGCCCTCCCCTTTCCTTCTGTGCTTGTGCTCCTGGCTTTGCAATCAAGAAGGCAACCTTTTGTTCTGCTGGAGTAAAACCTGTTGACTCTATCTAAGCTGAACCGGCACTTAATGGCCCTTCAGCACCCAGCACGCATCTGCTCCCAGACAGGGCAGTGGCAAGCTCAAGGTGCCCATGCAAGGACCTTCCCCACCCATGCCCAGAGCCTGAGGACTGGCCAGGTAGGCAGCAACGTCTCTCAGGACGCAGACCCCAGATGCATCCGCTCAGCCTCTTGCTCCTCTCCTTGCTGCCGGCTACACGAGGCAGCAGCACGAGGAGGCGCTGGGCAGTGCCCTGCCTGCAGCCACTGCTGGCGCAGCACACTGGGGGCACGGATCAACGCACACAGGGAAGGTTTTGCAGTGTAAGCAGGGGATGGCCTCGGACATCAGCCCGCAGCAGTGTGCAGGGAGCTGCAAGAAAGCAGCTTGAACCCTGGCCGGTTTTCCTCTCCTTCCCAGCCCTTGTGGGGTTTCACACCTTCCTGTCCTGGCTGAGCATGGCCGGGTGATGCTGGGGAGAGAGCTGCCCCTTCTCCCTGGCTGCACTTCCACCGAGGGAAAAAAGGGCAGTGATCAGCATGGAGCAGGTTCGAAAGCTGCATGTTCTCCCCTATTGCACAATTAATCATGAGAAGTTTTCCTTCCTTTCGTGCATGAAACGAAATTTGGCAGGGCGCTCTGACCACGGGGACGTGCTGCTCGCTCGCCGGTGAAAAACCCGGCCACATCTGGCATAGAGATAACCCCACACCATCCCCTTCTGTGCAGCTGCCATGCACGGAGCATCCTCAGCCCCACAGTGTGCACAGGGAGGAAATGCAGTGCCCTGGGGAGCCCCATATTCCTGCTGTGCGGCCCCTTTCCATGCAGCGGTGACAATGCTGTCACCTCCACCTTCTCCTGCTCCCAGGTCCCTTGCGGTGCCCATCTCCTGTTCCCACCCAACTGTGTCGCAGCCTCAGCACACTCTTTGCAGGCTCCGAGCAAGCCCAAGCCTCCTCAGCAGCGCTCCAGCTATTTGTTATTGGAAAAAGGGGGAAATACGGTTTTCGACAATTATTGTTTTTTCCACCTGACTGGCTGCAAACTTGTTAATTTTTTTTCTTTAATGTGTGAACAGTGTCGACGGCAGCTGCATGTGAAATGACTCGACGCCCTATCTGCGGGTCCCTGGCTGGCTTTCAGCACTCACACCGCAAACATTGCCTTCTATAAATAAAGGCCTATATCTCATCAATGGCAGAACAGCGGCGCTTTATATAGTCGTCTTACATAAAACCGTCTCTCTTTATGGGCTCCAAACCATTGGCATCACTTAGCGCATCTCTGTAAACCTTCTGTTCCCTCCTCCGAGGGAGCCCCAGCACAGCCACACGGGACTCCACGCGTGCCCCAGCCCCAGGGGACAGCAGTGTTCCCAACCCTGCACACGGGACAGGCCACGTGGCACATCCCCGGGGAGCCACACTAGGCGCGGGCGTCGTGGCCGCTGGCTCCCCCCGTATCGGAGACAGGCTTATTAAGTGTGCGATATTAAATTAGCCAGATAAGAGTGTAAGAGCTTTTAAAGTCAATTCATTAAATATAATTATGAAGAGAGCTTTTTTATGCTCCCGGTGATCCGATCTCAATCAGGGAGACGGTGGGAAAGCCGCCGGCTCCTCCAGCATCTCCGCTCCCCCGCTGTGTTGCCCCCACGCCCTACTCCCCCCCGTCCCATGGGCACCCACCGCCCTCGCTGCCGTCCCACCGCCCCAGCACCCCATCCCCACGCTGCCACCAGGCCTGGAGCCACCTTGCTCGTGTTCCCTGCAGGGGCACCCAACATCCCACGGTTCCTGAAGTGCTGCTGTGATGAGGGCTGCAGTGACACCCCCATGTCCTGTGAGCTCCTTGCTGTCATGCCACAGTACCCCACATCCCCACCACCCCACATCTGCCAGCCCCATTGCTGCACTCTGAGACCTGGACACAGGGGCACATGGGTATCTGGGCACATGGTTGCCTCGTGCCTGGGTACGTGTGGGCCAGGAGTTCTCCCTAGGCTAGGGTCTCTCACACAATGCCATGGCAGGGGTTTGGGGGAGCAGCTACCCACTGCTGGGAGCTGCCGGACTGACATTTATTTTTAGACGTGAATTGTATAAATTAGCATTTCTCAGTGGATTAAGCAGCAGGAATTGTGTAAAATTAAATGGCAACGAATTGCATTCAAGTCCCCCGGTTTCTGGCACAAGCAGCGCCTCGAGCTGTGCCTGGGTGGCTCATGTGTAACAGCAGCAGGGCTGCTCTGGACAGCAGCACGGGGAGCCACAGAGACATGGGAATGGGGACACACCAGCACAGCACAGCACGGCCTGCTGGGGCAAAATGGGATGGGCAAGTGCCCCGGTGGCTGAGCAGCACCACATCGGGCAGAGGACTGAAACCAGTGCAAAAACTGGCTGAAAATGTGATGTTTAAGGAGTGTGGTTCTGGCTCTGTCCGCTATGCAGCACGGGGAATGGGGCACATCCAAGCGAGGGATGTGCAGGAAAAGGCTTCTCCCAGGGCTGCTGACAGCCTGTGCATGGGGCCCAGCTGGCAGCAGGCTGCAGGGGAGCTCGCTGCGGCTCAGTGCTGTCCCCGCCGCCCCGGGGAGATTTACAGCCCAGCCCGGCTTTATTGCACGGAAGATGCTTACGCTGGGGATTTTTCTCCCCATAGTTTCTTAATTTGCTATCCCATAAAGAACGAGGATTTGTGACGTTAAATAGGGGAAGATCATTTACCACTCACGGCTCTTACTTAAAGGATCCGCACGAGTTATTTATCGTGCAAGCGGCAGCGCCGGGGGGCACGCTCCATCCGCAGCGGGTAGGCTACCCAGTGCCACCACGGCTGTCATGCGTGTGGCCATTGTGTGCAGAAGGGAGGGTGGCCACCAACACCCTGTGAACGCAGCTCTGGGGGCTGCAAGGAAAACTTCCCTTCCTTGCATTCCTTGGGGCCGCAGCTGCTGCTTTGGGCACTGGATGCCCTGCAGTGGGGACAGAGAGATCGGTGACTTCTGAAAGGGATGTGATGACCCAGGGCTGGGCTGAGAGTGCTCTGTTCCAGGGCACAGCTGGTGGGCACAGCAGCTCCTAACTCACACGCAGCAGCCAGGACCCAATGGTGCTGGTATGCTGCTGGTGCTGTGCTTCGGTCACCCCCAGGAAGAAGCACAAGGGATGGGTTTAGCTCAGGGAGCTGGAGCAGCAGCTCCCACTGCAAATGGCGTGCTGCCTCGGCAGGTCCCCCTGGCAAGGCTTTGGGATGTGGCATGCAGCAGAGGGACCTCCCAAGCCCATGCCCTGCATCTTCTGCCCCAAGATTTTCCCTTTGCTTCAGGTGTGTCAGGAAAGCAGCCAGTGAGAGGTGATAGGGATGCCCCCTTTCTGCTGGCAGCCCCCAATGCCTTGAGCTCAGGGTTCCTGCGCTGGTGCTCAGCCAGCACCCACCACCCTCCTGCCTGAAGCCTACTCTGGTGCACAGAGATGGCACACGGGGCAGTCCTGGTGACTGTTTTAATGGTCACTCTGCACACTGGCAAACTTATACTCAGTCCAAACCCCACTGCTACACCGTGCTGCCACCCAATACAGTGTGGCCTCACTGCTTTCCCACTAGCCAAACCCCTAATGCCAAACATCCCACACCAGGGCTCTGTGTGCTCGCCTCGCTGAACCTCACTCCTCTCCAGCAACCAAACCCAGGCAGGGAGCCCTGCAGAGCCCCAGCATTTGTGGGGTATCCTTGCTGCCCCCTTCTTCCCCCGCACTATTCCACCCCGCACAGCCCTCCCCCCCCCACAAAGCACCCCCCTGAGATGCTGCTTTGCCTAAGACAGCATCACAGAGCAGGCTTTGTGGTGAAGCAGGACGTGCTGCATCAGCCATTTCCAACCCCACGGAGCCTCCTCTCCCCCCACAGCCCCCGGCATCGCATCCAGCTCCCCGGCACTGAGCGGCTCCGGCTGGCAGCACTGCTCCAGGAGCGCAGCGAGCCGAGCAGCCTCTGGCAGCCGTGGGAAAGAGCCGGCTCATTTCCAGAGTCATTATGGTCTGAAAAGGGTCCCATCAGGTATTCAGCCCGTTCAGCACATTTATTTTCCCAAACCACAGCAGGGATTTGCGATTCCAGGCTCAATATTAGCAGAGCCATGAGCTCACAGTTCCTGGCAGTGTGTTCGCAGGTGACAGCAGGGTGCTGGGCTGGCTGGGGACCCGTGGATACAAAGGGCAATCCCGGGGTTCATGGACGTGGACATGCCCAGTGCAGAACCCGCTCAGGGTACTGGGCACGTGTGTTTGCACGCACACACGTGCATGCACCTACCCGATCTGCACGCATCGCTGTGCATGCCCCACAGGCAGGGGGGCTCTGCTAGGTACCAAGGGGTCTCTGCCCCCCTGTTCTGCTCTCACTGTGCAGAACACCCTGCAATGGAGCAGCTCAACTTGTGGCGAGTTGAGGCTGGAGACAGGCTCCGCATGGTCATATTCCCCCTTCCTGCTGCTCACCCACTTGGGGACCGCTCCCCAGCCACCCCCGATCCCCCCCTACAGCCCTGAGGCCGGCGGCAGTGCCGTGCTGCAGCACAGAGTGCTCCCACAGAAGGAGCAAGCATCCTCTCTCTCTCTCTCCGTGTGAAACTTGGAGGGAAACTCAAACACGGAGAGATGCAAACTTCAGCAGCCGGAGCGAGCCAGGGAGCCGTGCTCCGATGTGGCACAACAGGGTCAGACCCCTTCCACCGATAGGTCCCCAGGGGGGGCCCCAGCTGCGCACTCACCACCGTGAAATCCCGGGAGGAGCAGTTCTCGCCACTGAAGTTGCAGCTCTTGAGCATGTCGTCGAGCTGGTGGCCGGTGCGGTTGACGATGTCGGCCATGTCGGGGTCGGGGTAGAGCAGGTCGGTGGCCTTGTGGCCGTCGCGGTCCTTGGGGGGCAGCCCGGTCATGTTGGCCAAATGGAAGATGTCGGCGTCGGTGAGTGCGGAGTGGCGGTAGCGGTTGATGTTGCAGATGGTGATGGCGGGGAAGACCATCTCACGGATGGCTTCCTCGTCCAGGGCCACGACGTGGGGGTGCTCCAGGTAGAGCAGTGCCGACTTGGCCGCCTGGTAGAGGAAGAAGGCGAGCGAGGCCAGGAAGGCGAGTGCCCAAAGGGTCTGCCGCACGCCCGGCCGCCCTGTGCCGCAGATGTGCCCCAGGCCGTGCAGCGTGCTGGCACTGGCGAACGCGGCCAGGTCCCGGGAGCGCGGCCGAGCCGGCTCTTCGATCAGGCTCTCCTTGTCCCCTTCTTCTTTCTCCTTCTGCTTCTCATCCTCTTCGGCAAATTTGATTTTACACACGATCTCAATCGGCATCTGCCCCGCCAGCGAGCTGCCCCCCGGCACGGGCAGCGGCCGAGAGCCCGGCCAGGCGCTGGGAGGGGGCTCGGGTCCCCCCCACGGCCCAGCACGGCGCCGGGAGGGCCGAGCCGTGTCGGGAGGGAGCGCGGCCCCGCTCCGCAGCTCCGAGCCGCCGCTCCCCTCTTGTCTCACTCGTCGATCGTCTCCTTGTGCCTTCGCTTATCAGCACGAATACAGCTGTCAAAAACCCCTCTCTCTCCTCTCCCTCGCTCGGTGTCTCTGCCTCTCTCCTTCGCTCCTCTCTGGTTAAGACCCCGGCAGATACAGGCAGCATTTAGGCATCATGTGCTAATAAAATCCAGGGAATACTTAATAATTCAAGACATGTCAACATTATTTCATCGTCAAATAAAGAGCGAGCGCCGGAGAAAGAGGCAGTGTGAAGGGCCCTGCGCCTCCGGGGCAGGGAACGCGCTGCGCCCACTCTCCAGCCCCGGCTCCGAAGTGCCGCCGGAGCCACTTGTTTGAATGGCCGGGACCCGCCGGAGCCGCGCCGAGCCGAGCCGAGCGGAACCGCGCCGTGCTGAACTGAGCCGCACGCACCACGCCGTGCCGCGCCGCGCCGAGCCGAGCCGTGCCGAGCTGTGCCGAGCCGTGCCGTGCCGAGGCGGGCGGGGCACGCAGCCTGCCCCCCGCCGCCACCGCCGCCGCTCTCCCCGCCTCGCCCCGCCGTGGCCCGGCCCGTGCGCCCCGGGGCAGCGCGGCACGGCGCGGCTCGGCTCGGCGCGGCGCGTGGGGGCGGGCAGCCTGCGGGCAGCTCGCCCGGCGGCTCCCTCCTGCTCGCCCGCCCGCGGACTCCTCCTGCCTCGGCGGCTCCCTGGCCGTTAACCGCCTCCCTGCCGCGGCCCGACGCGCCCCGACTCGGGAGGCACAGAGACCGGCCGGGAAACCCCCGCCGGTGCGGTCCCGGGAGCTCGTCACCGCGGACGGGCAGCACTGCGGGCAGTGCCTCCTCCCGAGCCCCCGGCTCTGCTCGCTCCGCACCCACCCCTCGCGGGACGCAGCTCCCGTGGCAGCTCGGAAGCCCCAGCCCCATCTCGCGCCCTGCTCCGGGCTCTGCTCGCGGCCCCCGCTGCTGCCTGGATCCTGCCGCTCCCCGTGCGCGGCTCCGCCGCGATGCGCCCCGGCTCCCCGCCTCAGTTTCCCCAGCTGGAGGCGGAGGGTTCGCTCCATTCAGACCTACGAGCTGCGCAACCCTCGGGTGGCACCGCAGGGGGAACACCGGCACAAGCCCGGCTCCGGACAGCCCCCGGGAGACGCGGGAGGCACGTGCCTGGCAGGGGTACAGGCGGCGAGACCTCGCATCCCCCCGGGGCGCCCGTCGCAGGTCAACGTGACCTTCACTGTGCTGCCGATGCCAACAGCAAAGCTTTCACCGGTCGTCCAGCGAGCACACACGCATCTTCAATCTTCCCATCGATCCGTGCATGGCACACATGTTCCTGCCTCCGTGCAGGTCAATACGGCATGATGGGCTGCCTCCGGCAGGCAGCACGCACAGCCCAGCTGCCCGCATCACTCTGCTTGGGGTTTGCACGTGCCTGTCCAGGCCTGCAGCAGGGAGCACGGACTCCTGAATGCCCACAGGGTGGGGGTTGTGGCCCGTATCCTTCGGGCAAGCCATGCTGTGTGGCTGCCAAACTTTCCCATGGCCTTCTATGGCCAAAGAGGTGCACCCTCTCCTCCCTCCGCTCCTTCTCTAGCTGCGAGGGTTGGGCTGGGATCTGGGTCAAGGTGTGCCCAAATAGGTGGCACTGGGACACAAGCCCCGTGCTAGCTGTGGCAGGGGTAGGTCAGGGCAAGGCAGCGAGCAGGGCCATGGGCGATGTGCTGTGGATGGAGCTGGTAGGCAGGTGCAGAGGCTGGCAAAGATGCCCACTGCCCAGACGGGATGGGTCCATCTGGGAACTCAGCTCCTGGGGCAGCAGAGGCAGCTATTGCTCCAAGGACTGGCAGCTGGGAGGGCTCAGGGAGATCAGTGCTTGGAGGCTGCTTTCTCCTGGGACACAGTGAGGCACCAGTTGGGATCAGCCCCGGCTGGGGCTTGGCAGCATGTCTGGTTTCTCACTGTCCTGCACAGGAGCCTTTCACCTGCGACTTGCTGAGTGTGGCACATGCACACAGGGCTGGTGGGAGGAGGCGAGGAGCAGGCAGGACAGGGGAGCCAGCCAGGGACTCACTGGTGGGTCAGGAAATTGGAGCCCTCCTGGCTCACCCTGAACCCTCATGCTGTGCTGGGCTGGGTGAGCAGCAGGGTCCTGGCACAGAGCCCACGCGCTGCGCTCTGATGACAGGGGGAGGCTGCGAGGGCTGGAGAAGCCAGGACTGGAATTCGAAATGATGTTGACAAATCGGAGAAATGGCCTGAAAACAATCGGATACGATTCAAAAGGACAAGCAAGAAGAGCTGGGCTGGCTTGGGGAGCAGAAGCGCCCAGTGAGCAGCCAGAGGGCAGGGTGAATGGATGGGCAGTGGGAAGTGTCACCACGCTCATTGCCCAGGCAGCTCTGGCCGGGCACACAGTGTGATAGCTGAATCTACACAGGGCATGCAGGGGGCTGTGCACATAGAAGCCAGGATTCCAAATGCCCAGCAGGCAAGCAGCTGTTGGGAAAAGCAGCCAGGAGGTAGGGAAGGGGAGGAGAAGCCTCATTGGTTTGGATGTGGAAAGTGGGAGCAGCGCTGCTTGCAAGGCAGCTGAAGCTCTCTGCTGACCACAGCTGCCCCATGCCCGGTCCGGGATCAGCCGTCAGGAAAAATCCCCGCTAATTGGAAAGAGCACAGAGGATGGCAATAGTAGAGCAATGACAGAGGCTGCAGGCAGCGGGGTCTGGGCGAGAGTGGAGGCAGGGAGACTGCAGCCTCAGACCATATGAACGCTGTGAGTGCAGCAGGAGGAGCTTTGCAGGGTATCGGGCAGTTGGAGCTAAGCAGGGTGCCCCTCGGCTGGCCCCGACCCACAGCAGTGTGTGCGTGGGACCGATCCTGCCCGCTGCCCTCCAGCACCGTGGTGATGATTCATCCCCTCTGAGACACAGCCATTGTCCTTTTCTATTCTCAGGCCAATCTGGAAGAGATTTGTTTGTGATTTTCCTGCCTTGCTGCCCAGCCGACAGATTGATTATTGGCTGTGCCCCCTCCATCCGGACAGACTGTGACGCAAAGGCACCAGTGAGGGTCCCCCTGTCCCCTCCCCAGCTGCCAGCACCAGTCCTGTCCATGGAAGGCAGTGGGACCGGAGCTGGAGCTGGATGTGGCCCTGCGCCCACAGGGAGCGGCTGTAGGATAATCATTAATTTTGATCTAATTGGAAGTCGCAGTGCCAGTTGGATCCTTCCTGTGCTTCTGTGCCTGCTTGGCGGGTCAGAGTGGGCAGTGAGTGCCTCAGCTCTGGGGAGATGTGGGATGACAGGGTGTCTGGTCCCATTATAGGAGTGGGACTGGGCATGGTCAAAGCCCCCCCACATGTTGGGTATCAGTCCCCTGTTCCCACCACGGGTGGCATCTGCCAGGGACAGCACATGCATCCATAAGGCACCACCCCATCAATGCACTGACCCCGTCCGCATTAAAAAAACCCTATTAAACACAATACCTTATTAAATGCTTTACCCCAACAAAGTGCAATACCTTAATTAATGCAACACCCCAATTAAGGACAACACTCCCATTCAATTTATTCCTTCATTAAGCGCAAAACCTCTATTACAACATCTCTTTTGTAAGCTGAGCGCACGAGTTCTCGCAAGGTGCCCTGGACACCTTCTGCTGCCTCCTGCAAAGCAGCACTGGGATGCTGCAGCTTTTGGGTCCTGGCTGTGGGGACGCACCGAGGGACTTCTGTAGGGACTGAGGGCCTGATTTGGATGGACCGGGAGGAAAATGTCTGCCAGTGGCTCTGCAGCCATGCTCGTGCCCGGTGCAGGGTGCCACAGGCTTGCTGGAGAAAGCTCCGTCGCGGTGAGAATGCTGGGGCCAGCACTGAACTGGGACCGCCCCATTGCCGTTCCCACACAGCCCCTCTGTCCCCCCCAGCCACTTGTCACCTGCCTTGTGGTTTATAAAACTTTAAAGCTAATGGTGTAATAAACGCCAATAATGATATTGCAGCTGCACCGGGGCACCCTGGGATGAATACATTACGGGAGCTGCGGCAGTTGCGCACGGAGGGTAGCAGCGGGGCTGGGAGGTGCAACAGCAGTGCCGCTCAGCGCCGGGATGCTGTCCTGGGACGAGCCGCTGGGCAGCCCCCGGTGCCGGGCGTACGTCCTCGTCCTCCAGCCCCTGGGCACGGCTGCCGCTCCGTCACAGCTGCGTAGGCACAGCTGGCACAGCTGTGAGGTACCTTGTAGCCACGGGCCGTCCCCGGAGCCGTATGACAGCAGAGGGGCACAGCACAGCTGTGCACAGGGAGAGCCCAGTGCCACCCTGAGCGTTCCTGTTCAGCACGACCGTCCCTACTGGTGGAGCAGGAGAACGGTGGGCACAGCGGGGCTGGAGCCGCGCGGAGACCATTGCTCTGCTCCCTGGGCATGTCTGCGGAGCGATGCGTCCCAGCAGGGCTGGTACCCGCAGGACACACTCCTCCTGCTCACCCCCACCTCGGGGCCGTGGGGAGCTGGGGGAGCATGCCCAGCCAGCGGAGCGTGATGAGCGGCTCTTCATGCTCCGTGAGACATTGCTCAGCTGCTCCTTCGCGCTTGGCTGCGCCGGCGGGCCCTGCCCTGTGCCCTACAGCCACCAGGACCGTCACACTGTCATCGAGATAGTGGGCAGCGCCCCTGGACAGAGGGCAGGAGGAGCATTGGAGTGCTGCCCACTGCCCTCCCAGCAGCTCCTGCCTCCTGCTCATCTGTCCTAAAACAACAGAGCTATAAACTGCCTTGACGCGGCATTACGGCTGAGGTTTTAAATGCACCCAAGTCAGGAATTCAAAGTTATGGGTCCCCGAGCAGCCGTAGCTCAGCCACATGGTGCCCATTATGGCCCCGCGCGTGCACAGCCACCGCGCCACGGGCAAGGGGCAGAGTTAGCGTTACCATGGGAACCATTGCTCCTGATTCCCTGACATCTGTGTGATTAAAGCCTCAACCTCCGTGCCACGGTCCCACCAACGCAGTGAGGGCACCCTCATGTCCTACAGGCCATCAGGAGTCAT